AGTGTATATTTCCTACTTGTCAGTTAGGACTAAATACATCTTACGGGCCCCACAGTCACGTGTGACAAGAGGATAGCACACTGGGCAATCAGAGTCTAGAATCTTCCTGTCCATTGCCCATCTTACAGGGATGAGATATGTGGGTTCCCTTCCTTGGCCTGGGAGAGATGCTCTGATTATGGACACTGAACTGATGGACATAAGAATTAGAGGACAGAGGCCCAGCCCCTCTAAGCCCCTGGAGGCTGCTAGCTGCTGGGGCTGCTTCCAGCTTACTCACCAAAGCCCCAGGGAGGGGGAGCCTTCAAGGAAGATGCTGCAATCCTGTGTTTCCTCCTAACTCAAAGACTCCCTTAATTGGAAATTCTGCTGGGCTTGAATTGGAGCCCAAGCCACTCCCGTTCAGGGTCTCAAATGCCTATTCACGAAGCCTCCAGCTCTTCCCAGAGCTTCCTGTACACAGCCAGTGTAGCTGTGCATAGGAGAAGCTAGGTACCAGTTTCTCATTCCACAAGCACAGGCCAGCTGCGGAGCCTGGGGACCTTCTTGGTGACAGTGCCACACATTCAGATGTACGGGTGCTTGCAAGGACAAGGGCAGGGAAAATAAGAGAGTAGACAGGAGTATCTCTGCACCCCACAGGGAGAGTTTAGGGAAAGCACTCCTCACTAAGTATCCATTGCTTTGTCTAAAAAGCTGAGCATGTTGACTGACAGTGATTTCCACTGCCGGCTTCTCCATGCCAATCACTAGCTCATTTCATCCTAACCTACTCTCTGCCCTGTGAGGCATGAGGATCCTACGGTCAGAGTGGGGAAGCAACTTGGACAAGGTCACACGGCTGGTACAAGAGGCAGAATATCATCTCAAAGTCTTCTGACTCTGTATTCTGTCCACAGGTGACCCAAGACAGCCCTGGTTCCCACCGGTCACAACCATTGGAGGGACTGAGAAATGATCAGAATTGGGGTGCATAATGCAAAATTCCCAAAGAATAAAAAAAAGAGAAAGAGAGAGGAAAGGAAGGAGAGAAGAAGAGAGAGAGAGAGAGAGAGAGAGAGAGAAAGAAAGAAAGAAAGAAAGAAAGAAAGAAAGAAAGAAAGAAAGAAAGAAAGGATACAGGCATTTGTAGGGAAACAATCAAAATTCAAATGAATCCTACAGTTTAGTGGATGCTAATGTGCTGCTGTTGTATGTCCATGTGTGTTCATGCAGATATACTCATGCATGCAGATGCATGCACCCATGTGTATGTGTGTGGAAGTCAGCAGACATCAGATGTTGTTCTTTAGCCACCAGCTGCCTAGCTGGCCAGCAAGCCCCCAGAATGCACCTGTCCCCACTTCCCCAACAGTGAGGTTACAAGGACATCATCATACCTGGCGTTTGTTTGTGTGTGTGTGTGTGTGTGTGTGTGTGTGTGTGTGTGTGTGTGTTTTATTGTGATTTTGGAGATCGAACTCACGTCCTTATGCTTACCAGGCAAGCACTTAGCTGACTGAGGTAACTCTGCACCTCTCATAACAAATGCATGCAGCAATCTAAGAAGTCCACATTAAAGATTTGGTGGAGCTCTTTGTATCTCCTCACAACTTTCATCTTCTAAGAGTTATTTGAATTGCAATTCTGTGTATGAGGGAGGTCTGTGCATGTACCTGCCGAGTTGTGGAGAGAACATGAGATTCCCTGGGGTTGGAGTTATAGGAGGTTACGGGCTGCCTGATCTGGGTGCTGGGAACCAGACATGGGTGCTGGGAACTGAACTTTGCTTCTCAGCAAGGACAGTATTCACTTCCAACCACTGAGCCACCTCTTCAGCCCCCTCCTCACAACTTTCCTACAAACTTAAAGTTACCCCAACATAAAAGTTGGGTTTTTCCAAAAGTGCTTCCTTTACCTCATAAAAGCATTCATGGTTGGACAGTAAGTTGTAGGATCACCAGCTCATAGGCCTGGTCTGCCTCAGTCCCTTTGTGCAGCTGTAACAGAATACCTCAGACTGCACAGTTTATAGCCACAGGAAGTTATTGCTCACCGTTCTGAAGACTGACAAGTTGAAGCAAGTTTGGCTTTAGATAAGGCCATTCTCTTTCATAATGGCAGCTTGTGCACTCTAGCCTTTGGAGGAGATAAAGGCTGGATTGTGATGTCAGAGGCAAACTAGGGATGGAGAACTTGCCAAGTCAGTAAAGTGCTTGTCACACAAGTACGAGGGTCTGAGTTTAAACTCCAGTACCCATGCAAAAAGCCAGGCATGATGGCTCATGTTCATGATCCTAGCACTGGGGAAACAAAATCAGGAGGATCCCTGAGGCTCTCTGGGCAGCCAGCAAGCTCTGGGGCCTGGTGAGAAATACTGTTTTAAAGGCAAGGTAGATGACAGTGCCTGGGAAATGACACCCGAGGTTGACCTCTGGCTTCCACATGCCATCTGTACACATGTTTGTGTACATGCAACACACAACGCTGGGGGGCTGGGGGAGCAAGCTCACCCTTTTCCAATGGCATTAGTCTCACCTCTGAGAGCAGAGCACTGGTGACTCAATCACTTCTCAAAACTCCCACCTCTTGAGACTGTTAGTACAGCAATTACATTTCCCCACGAGTCCAGATGGAAGAAACAGTCTAACCTTAGTGTCCCTTAACCAAGACGTCTTAGGAAAACTGCCCGCAATTTCTTTCCTATTTTGCAGTACTGTTACATTCACAACAATTTGAAGTTTAAAGTTACGCAGGATTAAAGCCTTGGAATCAGAAGGCTTTGGCTCAAGACTTAATGTTTGCTTTATTCGTGGTGTTGGGCACCGTCATGGTTTGAAACAGAAATGTCCCCACAGGCTCAAGTTTTAAATATTTATTTATTTATTATTTTATGTGTACGTACATACACCTGAGTATATATGTACATCACAGTCATACATGAGCCTGCAGAGTCAAAAGGAGTCACATCCCCCGGCACTAGACTTGAAGGCAGTTGTGGGTACGAGGAACCCAAGCCAGGTCCTCTGCAAGAGCAGTGAACACTCTAAACTGCCAAGCCATGTCTCCAGCCCTCATGCTCTTCAAATGCCTGATCTCCAGCTGGTGGCACTCTTTTGGGAAGTGTTGGCGGTGAGGCCTAGCTGGTAAGAGATCACTAGGTGCAGGGTACCCTTTGCCCACTTCCTGCCTCACTCTCTGCTTTGGGGTCCACGCAGGAAGAGCTGATGTCTCTACCACACTCTCTGGCCACCATGACAGGTGTTGCTCTGCCTGCCTTCCCTTCCACAACAGACTGAAACCCTCAGAGCTGGGTGACAAAACAAATCTCCTCTGTTTCTGTCACATAAGGACATCACCATGGCACACACAAAAAGTGAGGAATGCGGGCATATTGGATTCTTTGAGCTCAGTTTCACGTCTGTCAAATCTGTTGGATGTCAGCGACTGCTGGCATTACTGTGCCTGTACTTGGTGTTCACACTGTAGTGGGTACTATAAGGAAACTTCCAGATTCTGCCTCAGAACCCAAGGACTTCCTTCTTCCACCCTAGCCACTTGGAGAACTACAGACTCCCAGCATTCTCTAGAGATTGACCTGGGCATGAGGGGAGATGTCCAGGCCACTGATCCTTTCTGAAGAGAAGTCTACATTCCACACAGAGGGTTTGGTCCACCTCCCTCATCCCAAATAGGGATGACATCCCTCCACAGAGCACCACACAAGGTTGATGGAAGCCTTTATGGAGATCTCATTGCTGCTCAGCCTCCCCTCCAGCCCCACCCTGCTTCTTCCCTCTTCCAGAGCATTGATCCTAAGAGTGCTCCCCATAAGCATCCTCCTACACGGGGATCTCCATCTGAGAGTCTGCTTCAGGGGACTCACCAAGAGCACTTCACCTGCACTGGCTTTCTCGACCCTCAGAACAGCCCTGTTTGTACAGGTGAGGCTCTTGAGCTTTGAGAAGAAAACACAACCGTCCAAAGATGGACAACTAAGAAACAGTGACATCACATAGGGAAATGCAAGCCTTCTGGGTGAAGTGACTAGACAAAGCTTCTTACTACTCCCAGCCTCCGTGAGCACAAGAAACCTTGTAAGGTGGCTAAAGGCATGGGAGAGTCGATATTGCTTAACAAACACTGGAAGACAACAGCAGACCTCCGTCTGCTTTAGACTGAGAAGACATCAGAGGTAGAATGTAGATGGTGGGGGGGGGTGTGAGCAGGTGAAAGGGTTAGCAGATGCAGCGGGTAGGTGAGCCGGGTTGAGTGAATGAAGTGTGGCCAACGGTTGCATGGAAGTGTGGTTAGGTGTGGAGGTAGAGAGATGGCTGCATGGTGGAGGGGTCATTGAGTAAGTACAAGCAGATGTTTGTATGAGGAAAAGTGTGGCTGGGCGGCCAAACACATGGAAGTAGCTGTCAGCAATGTGGTGGATGAGTGGATGGGTTCATTACCAGCTTTTACAGTGGGCCAAGTAGTTGAGTAGAGAGATGAGACGATTGGTGGGTGAGGGATGGGTATGTGGGCAAACAGATCTGGGAGTAGTTGGATCAGTGGTTGGGTAGGCATTGGACAGCCATGGATGGCTGTGTGGATGAAAGTGAGCGTGGTTGTGTGGATGGATGGTTGCTGAGGAAGATATGAAAGAGACTGAAGGGACGTGGTTGGATGGATAAAGGGTTAGGTGGATGGAGGCGCTGAGTGGACAAATGAACAAGCGAATGAGTGCATGGTGGTATAGCTGGCTGACCGTACGTGGGGTGGGCAAGCATTGAGTAGAATGGATAAGTTGATGACTGCCGAGCAGAGAGACATGGCTATTAGATGGGTCATGTGAGAAAAAGATACGCCAAGGGTTGGGATTGGGTGAGTGGGAGCCGCTGAGAGGATGACTGAGGCACGATGTGATAACTAGATGCACTGGTGACTTCACTTGCACAGTAGAGAAATGCACGATCAGGCTTGGCAGGGAGGTGGGGCGCCTAGGCTGTGGGTTCCCGCCAGCCAGCTCTTACCTGGAGGCGGCGATCTCAGCCTTCTGGCGGGCGATGGCTGCTGCCCGTTGCGCGCCCTCGACGCCATGCTCCACCTTCTGGCGTACCTTGTTGCTCTTGAGCGGCAGCACGCGGCGCTTGGTGCCCTTGACCAGCACGTTGTGGCGGTACTTGCCCTCCTCACGGTGGCCGTCGGGCAGCGTGGTGCGGCCGTAGCCGTGGCGCAGGTTGTCCAGCCACTCTCCCTCATAGCGCAAGCCGCTGGAGCGCTCGCTCACGCCGAAGCCTGAGCGCCTGTCGTTCTTCCACTCGCCCATGTAGGTCTCCGTGGTGGTGGCGTCGATGTCGGCATCGAAGGGCGCGGCCGTGTCGTCGGGGCCCTCGGCGCCCTCGGCCAGACTGCCGGTGGACGCTGCGTCGCTGGCGCCCGAGCTCAGCTCGCTCTTCAGGAAGCTCAAGCGGCTGCGCTGGCTGCCCAGCGACGTGCGCGACTCTGAGCGTCGCAGCCGACCCAGTAGCGTGCCACGTGTGAACAGCCCTGGGGGACGCGCAGCCTCTGTGGTGGCTAGCAGGCTGAGCGCGAAGCCACCTCTCGGTACCGGGGGCGAGGGCAGCACGGGCCCGTCCGCCGCCGGCGAGTCCGGAGCCACCGTGCCATTGCTGTGCTCACTGCGCAGTGAGGACAGCGACGTGCGCAGCGCGGAGCGCACCACCACTGCCATCCCGTAGGGCACACTTTGGCGCACGCCGTAGCCATGCCGCATACCGTTGGTGAACTGGCCTTGGTAGGTCCCTGCGGGGCAAGGATAACTGTGTCAGTTAGGTGGCAGGGGCTCGATAACCCTGGACAAGACAGGGTAGGGCCCAGAGACAAAAGAGGCCATTGCAGGAACAAGAAGTGTATGCTGCCGTGCCTACCTGGAGGGTGGCCTCAGTACGATAAAGGTAGGGACCCTACATGCTGTGACCATGAGCAAGGCAGAGTAGGGCCCAGAGGACTCTGCTGTGTGTACCCAGAGAGTGACCTCAGTAGGCTACAGGCAGGGTCAGATGTGGGCAAAGCAGGAGGGCACCATGACAGGACTGGGCCGTCAGAGGGACAGAGTGCATGCCGCTGTGTCTACCAGAAAGTACAAGTGGCAATACGAGTGGGCAAGCCAGAGGGGGAGGTGTGGCCATCAACACTGGTGGATGATGCGAGTCAGAGAGTAATCGTGAAGCTGTGTGATTGATTGACTAGTCGAGGTCCGGGTACTGGGTGATGTTAAAGGAGGATGCCAGTCCAGGAGCGAGCATACCAGAAGCAATTTGTGGAATGGTATAAACACTTGCACTGTGGGAACATGCTAAGGTCACAGGTGTGGGGTGTGGGAATCACTGTGTTACAGTATAGTTATCCAAGCAGTTCAGGCTGTGAACTCTACTTGGATGGGTGCCCAGATTTTGGATTACACGGATGAGTGGTAGCTCTGTGTAGCACTGTGGTTGGTGTAGAGGGCTGGTGCAAGGCAGTGTGCACACAGCCTGTCTGAGGGCTTGTGAGAAAAGCACAGTGGGTTTAGTCCTGGATTGGAATTGCAAGGAAAGGCAGGATTGAGTAGTCATGCAAGGCCATCTGGGGTCCAAAGAGAGAAAGGGGTGTGAACAGGCAAGACCCAGTTGGTACACGGAATGAATGCATGGCTATCCTATTGTCCAAGGTGACGTGACTGGTGAGGGCCATGAACAAATAAGACAGCAAGTTTTCAGAGCAGTGTCAATGTCAAGAAGTGTGTGTGTGTGTGTGTGTGTGTGTGTGTGTGTGTGTGTGTGTGTGTGTATAAGAGCCTTGAGATCACAGGTGTGCTGGTCAGTGTGCACAACATAGGAAGCCAAGTGCCCATGGTGCCATGGAAGTGACACTATGAATTTGCATGGAGTTCCAAGTGCGCAAGGCCACTGCAGCACAAGGCTAGGGCACTTGAAACAGTGAGTGTGTGGGCTTGTGGGTGTCAGTCAAGTTGATACTGTGGAAAACCTAGTGCACAAATTGGTGATATGCACAGGAGCTGCCAGTAGCCAAGGGCCCATGTGGGCACAAGCAGTCCAGCCCACGGGAATGGGTATATGTCAGCAGGCCACTCAAGTCTTGTACAAGTAGAGAGGCCTATAGACTCCAAGGACTGACTCCACCCTTGTTGTGTGACCTTAGGCAACTAACCTGACCTCCCTGTGTCTCAGCTTCCTTATCTGTCAGAAAGAGAAAGCAATCACCTCTGAATTCACAGGGTTTCAGGCTTAACAAGTCTCTAACTCCGGAAAACTGAAAGAAAAGATATGTGCTTGATGCGGGGCTTCAAGACAGTTGTGCCAGTATGTAAGGTCACCAGAGCTCTGTGAAGACGCTGATGGGAAATTACTCCCATCTTACCCACAGGGCTCCACCCACACTGGTTCCATGTTGATGACATCATCTAGTGCTTTATAACCATGGTGTATGTCCTGCTGACCTCCAATAATATTCCTGGCCCCAGTTCCAGATGTCAGCCTGGAGACAGATGTCCCCTAGATCACACACACACACACACACACACACACACTATCTTCTTAGCACTGAAAGCCAGTTCTCCACCTCTACCTCTTGAGCATACAAGTACTGTGACATCAATGTCCACAGGCCTCAAGTGGCCAGTCTGAGCCTCTGCTGCATCTTAAGATTCCCTCACATATCTGTGTGGTAAAGGCTTAGTCTCCAGCATGGATCTGTTCAGAGGAGGACCCTTTAAGAGGAGGGGCCTAGTCAAAGGTCATGGGGGTATATCCTTCCTTCCTCTCACTTCTTGAAGTGGGCAGCATTACTGTCCTACCATGTTTAGCATGTCACACTATAGACCTAAAAGCAAAAAGGCCACCAGACCATGGACAAGAACATCCCCAAACCAGAACCTTTAAAACCTGCTGCACGCTGTAGGGTGTGAAAGAAAGGAAGGACACTCCCCTGTGGTCTAAAATCCTCCTCCTAGGCCCCGCCTCTTAAAGGCTCCATTACCAAAGTAGATGGCTTTCATTTAAATAGATCAATAAAACAAGAAAATTCAGAAAACAAACAAACAAACAAACCCAGTAGTGTTTTTGAAAATTCCCCCCAGGGAGCATGCAAGTGGATCTAGATCGGCCCCTTCAGCATCCTTACTTGGAGCGGGTGGTGGTTAGAGCCACTTTTCACCATCCTGGGCCAGCAACTGGCTAGCAAATCAGAGGGGTTCTGTCCAAATACACAGACGGATGGCCCCATTCTGACCCTTCTCATGCCAAGAAGTGAAGCTGAAGCCCCTAGTGACCCACTCAACCCCACCCCCTGCAATTTCATCCCCACCACTTCTCTGTTCTCACCTCCTCCCTCTTAGAGGCCTCTTGGGTCTTCCTCACTCTTACCAGCAGCTGTTCTCCTCAGGACCAAGTTGTGTGCCCTTCCCTCTGACCAGAATATTCTTCCCTCAGGTACCCACATGGTTCACTCCCCTGCTGTCTTCATGCCTGTCATCAGCCAGACTTTCCACACGAGGTTTCTATCACCATCTTTGCCTCAGTCTTCACGTAGCGTAAACAATAGACCATTTCTTCTTCTTTTCTGCATTGCCCTCACTGGCAGGAAGTTCAATAAGGGCAAGGATTCCAGTCTATTCTGTTTATTGTGGAGTCCTCGGTGCCTATACAAATGAGGTACTAGGGACTCAATACAAATATTTTGCAGGACTGAATGGAATGTGTCTATCCTACAACTTTTATTTTCTTTTTGCTTTAGCTGTGGAAATGCCTGGAGAAAAGTTAAGGCTGGGAAAGGATGAAAGACTCACAAGATGACATAGCTCATGGGTCACCAGAGCCAAAACTCCATACCTAGCTACCTTCCTTCTGCTTCTCAAAGAGAATGGGGGGAATGGGAATCAGGGAAAGGAGTGTGAACAGGGCAGAGAAGCTGGGAAGTGGGGGCAGAGAGGATATCTAATCTCCAGGTTGGAGAAGTTTGTGAAATTGAATCCAGCAACCTACCTGTAGCTAAAATTTGGCCTGAGATGGGCTGACAGGGTCCCTTTAAGCCCAAGAAAATCTGAGACTGCAACAGAGAACCGCTCTTGGCCACCAGTTGAAAATGAAACAGTATGGCTATATTAGGAAACTTACAGACATGTAGCAAGAGCACCAACACCCAGGGGAGATTGATAGTGACAGGGCCCTGGGAAGAGGGAGAAGGCTATGGAAGGGCCATGTCTCCCTGTGTCTAAGACAGGGTGGTCCTCCCTGGGGACAGGAGGCCCACATCTGCCGAGAGAAGCTTCCCTGCAATCACATGGCTGAAAGCGCCGTGGGCAGGGGTGCTCCCTCAGCTGCCTAGCCTGACCTCATCAGGCATTCCATTGCTCTAGAGGGCCCCCCAAGGTCCCTAGCAGTTACACCACCTGGCATGGCCACCTCAGTTTGTCCTGCTCTCTAGTCACTTTCCTTCCTACCTCAGAACCTCTGCATGTACTTCTTTTTAGTTTTCTTTTGGTTTTGTTGTTGTTGTCACTGTTTGCTGCAGGCTCTTATTATAACAGACCAGGTTGGCCTTGAACTCACAGAGATCCACCTCCCAAGTGCTGAGGTTAAAGGCATGTGCACCACACCCACCAATTTGGGGGGAGGGTGTTTATATTTTGTGCATATGAGTTTATTGCCTCCATGTATGTCTGAGCAGCATGGCAGGCTCTGCCCACAGAGGCCAGAAGAGGGCATCAAATCGCCATATGGCTGCAGTGAAAGAGGGTGGTGAGCCGTAGTGTAGGTACTAGGAATCAAACACTGGTCCTCTCGAAAAGCAGCCCGTAAACTTAACCACTGAGCCAGCTCTCCAGCCCCCTTTTCTTTTTTTGAGACAGGTTCTTGTACTGTAGCCTAAGCTGGCTTACAGCTCACTATACAGCCCAGACTAGCTCCTGGCAATCCTCCTGCCTCAGCCTCCTAATTGCTGAGGTTACAGACATAACCTCTCGGGTCTTCCTCACCCTTACCAGCAGCTGTCCTCCTCAGATTATTTGCTCTTTCTTGACCTGCTTGTCTCCTCCCTCTCCCATGGGCCATCTTTGACATTTCAAACTTGAGCTTGCATGTGAAATCATCCAGGGAAAGTTCTGGAACCCCTTCCTCAAGTGCTACCCAAGACAGCCTCAGCACCCTTTTAACTCTTTCCCCGAGTGCTGTGAATAACCGTGGTGGTTGGTTCCCTGTAAGCCTTTCCTCCCCTGTGGGACTTCAGTTTCCAGACAGAAAGGAGCACTGTCTAGCTCATTCCCACTACAGTCTCAGCATCCTGCACAGTTCCCAGGGCTAAAGAAGCCATTGGCAAACATCTGGTGTGTGACTATTAGGTTGACCTAGGGATGGTACCCACATCACACTTCTTTCCCAACCAAGATGAAAGGGGCACTGAAAGCAGGTGGCACTGAGCTCTGGATCCAGCAGTACAAACCCTGGGAATGATGGCCTATCTGGGAAATACTGTCATACCATAACATTGGTACACGTCTCCCAGGAAGATGGGGCCTGTACACAGCCGACTCCCTGCTGTTTCTTCTCTCATTTACTTTGGGATAACATGGATTCCAGCCCCAACCCTGACCTTGAGTGGCTCTAAAAACCACATTAGTTATTTAAGCCTGCAGAGAGCCTCATTCGTTACTGTCATTCTATGAAGCAGAGGTGATGAGACTTGCTTCACTGACTGTCCCTAAGTATATGCTACAGGCCATGCACTCATCACTCTAGGTGCCAGAG